ACCTCGTGCTTTGCTCTGATCTTCCTCCGTTCCTCCGTCCGTCTTCTCTTCGCTATACCACTACCATGTCCCGTCGCCTCGATATCTCGTCGCTGTTGTGCGACGAGCCTCCACCGAAAGAGCGTGTCCGCGAGGAGATTGTTCCGGAGCCCGTCCTTCTTGCTCCCCACCTTCGCAGAAATGCTGCACCGGAACAGTCTCTCGATACCCTCGTTCGTGCTGCAGCCATGGCAGAGAAGCAGCAACGCGACCCGTCGTTTGCCAACATACTCCGGAGCCCCGTCGAGGACCTCCATCGACCAACGTTCCAACGACCTCGTTACGAGCAACAGCAGCAGCAGCAACAACTGCTCCTTCTTCAGCAACAGCAGCGCCAGCAGGAGGCCCGCCAGCGCGAGCATCACGAGCAGATGATGCATCAGGAGCGTCTCCAGGCCCAACGTCTCTGGGAACAGGAACGGGACGCGATTGCTGCTGCCCGTAAACCCGATGCAGGTCAGCTGCTCCCTACCCCGCCTTCTGCCTCGCACTCTTTCCCGCCGCGCATGCACAACATCCCCAACTTGGAACCCCCCAGCAAGAAACGGCGCTACTCCGAGGAGGTAGCACCTTTTGACACGCCTAGCCGCATGGCGCTCAGCCGCAGTGGTGGCGAGCGCTAGCATTCCTCAACCCCGACCCACCACCAGCCATCCGTCGTCCGTCATCGTCATCGTCGAGCTCCGGACATGAAACACATCCGTTTAGCTTTGGCCCCCGCCCGATATTGGACAACCACGGGATCCAAACCCCGCCTTTTCCCCCTGCGAAAAGATCGCCTCCGGGAAGTAGTTCTGGACGTGCTAAAGCGGCGAGGAAGCCCGAGACGGAAGTGCCTGATGTGACTCCGTATGTTGCGGAGCGAAGGGATTACACGGTCATCCATCTGCCCGAACGTCAAATAGAGGACTATCTTCCAGATGACAGGAAGCATAAAAGAGCGTCATCCTACCGCCCTCCATCTCAGCAGCAGCAACGGCCTGCACCACCGCCTCAACAACGTCGACCGTCTTCCGCTTCCCATCCCAAGGAAGAAGATCCGCACGAATGGCTCTTGGAACATTACGCTGATGCGTCGCCTCATGAGCGGCCCAGACATAAACCCGAGCCTCCTCCATCACCCCAGCACGTGTTCGCGAGCCAAAAGGCAGTTGACACTCCGCCCTCTGCCCCCATGCCGATTCCATCCTCGAAGAGCAAGGTCGAGGATGTCGAGATGGGTGTGTCGAACCTCCTTGTTTCCGATCCTGGCAAGACGGAAAACATGGATGTGGATGTGGAGGACGAGCTGCTCAGTTTGGTGGACGACCGACCACGGTCGCGGTCCATCACTCAACCGCCGAGCATGAGCCGCGTGTCTTCCGGGAGCAAGAGGCTTCCAAACGCCACAGAGCCAAATTCGCCCCATGCATCCCCCACTCCATCTGCTCTCCCGTCCTCTGCACTCCCCGAGTCTGAATCGATGCCCCCTCCCGCATCGACGGCTAGCGGACAAAGCAAGAAGAAGAAGGAGGCCACAAAGGTGCGTTGTAATGCCTTTGTACTTTGTCCACGACGCTCATCTCTTTTGCAGCCTCCTCCCAAGCCCAAGGCGACGACGGCAGCCAAACCACGCGCCAAACCCGCGCCCAAAGCCAAAGCCAAAGTCGACGCCACAGTGGCAAAAGCCAAACCGTCTGCCATTTCCCGCAAAAGTGGCTCTGCCGCCGCCTCTGCGTCCCGCTCTCGCTCCACTTCCGCCATGCCCGGGGGCTCTGTTGGTCCAGATGGCTCGGAGAAACCCGAGGATGAGGAAGAAGAGGTCGTTGCCGAGGACGACAAGCTGTATTGTGTCTGCAAGACAAAGTACGACGAGGACCGGTTCATGATTGCTTGCGACAAGTGTGATGAGTGGTACCACACACAATGTGTCGAGATGCCGGACCTCGTCGTTGATTTGGTTGATCAGTTTTTTTGCCCGCTTTGTATCGAAAGTGCGTCCATCTAATCCCGGCTTATTACTTGTTCTAACTGGACGCAGAAAACCCGAATCTCTCACTCAAGACCACGTACAAACCTCGCTGTCGTTACGGCCTGGACCATCCCGAACCCGACTCGCCCACTGCATGCCACAAACCCGCACAAGGGGCTTTTTCAAAGTACTGTTCACCAGAGTGCGGGATGAACAATATCAAGAAACGCATCGACAAGTACACAAAGAATGGGGGCAAGAAGGAGATGCTTTGGGATAGCGTCAAGGATGCGCAGAGGCGCGAAGGCCGTTGTTATCGTTCACTGAGGTCTTTCCGCCCGAGGTGGACGCGGATGGGTGTTTGCAGGAGGCGAGGGTGGTATCTGCCAGGGTGAAGCCGTCGATGGGCAAGGTGGAGCGAGGAGGTTGCCAACCTGAATGCGGTGCTCGAGGAAGTTGTCACGCAGCGCGAGACGGTCAAGGAGGGGATGGATATTGTGCTGTGGCGGGAGCGGCTGCTTGAGCTTGCGAGCGAACGTGCGGAGCGGGTTGGGCAGTGTGGGTGGGATCAGCGGCTTTGTTTTGGCGAGGAGGAGTGGGCTGAGTTTGGCGGCGGTGTTTTGGACAGCTACGAGGAGAAGCCGGGCGCGAATGCAGGTCGACTGGCGAAGACTGGTGGTGTCTTGGGAGTGAACGGTGCGAACGCCATTCTGGGTATGTCGATCTTGTCCGCCTGTCGCTTTACTTACATTCTCCTAGCTGGCAGACGATCCGAGCCAAGGACGTTTCAAAAGAGCGGGAAAAGAAGGAGGAGGCCCTCTTTAGGCTGACGACACGAGAACGCGAGCTTCGCAAACGCATCGAAGACATCGTCGAGCCGTACAATCGATCTTGCATCAACCCGACACCCTTCAAAGCATCCAAGCTCGTCAATGGCAACGCCAAAGGCAAAGCCAACGGGGACAACAAGAAGGGCAAGAAGAGAAAGAACCCGTCTTGAATTTGTGTATTTTTATTCTGCTGTGTATTGCATAAAATATCTTGTCGTGTAGCATTCACCTTCACAATAAAGCATCTAACACCCCGATATTCTCAGTGTTACAAAATACAAGGATACTGGAAGGCGTAATGAATCTGCCTTGTGCCTAGTACCCGTCACCTTCACCGCCCTCCTTGCAAATCCCTTCTTCTCGTAGAGGAATCTGCGCTTTTATTTCATCTCGTTGCTTCTTCATCTCAACGTCGTTCTTGTGGTACGGTTCCAGAGTGGCATAGTCGACCTGTCGGCGTTGGGGTATCTCATCCTCGAGATCGAGGTCCTAGAGTGGCTTCAGTGGATGCTTCCAGATAGAATAGAAGGCGCGACGACGCACAATTTCACCCAGCAATACTACATTCTCCCCGCGAATGAGAAACAAGCCATGCCAATTCTCCGCAAACGCGTTGCCGTGGTAGATCCGTTCCACGGTGTCCTCGAGCACGAGGTTGGCTTGGAATGATTTAGGATGGACGCGGAGCAAGGAGAAGGGCGTGTAATACCAAACTGGTCGTAGGACCGCAAGACGCCGTGGAGTTTTCTTCCGTCGCGCAAGACCACCAGCATCTTCCCTATTAACCGAGAAGAAGGAGGAGGGCGGGAGGAGGTGCCGGGAAAGCTCAGGCAAGACTCGGACAGTTGACGCGGTAGTTGACGTACTGTCCACGCAATCGACCAGCGACCCAGAGGTCGTGAAGGGTATTAAGGAATCCATGATTGTGGAGGAAGAAAATCCGAATCCGGTAGTGTTGAGTGATCGGGGACTGGACGTCAACAAAGTTCAACCACAAGTTGAACCAATACTTGCTTTGGAAAGGTCCCGACTCAAATCGCTCATTCAGACCTCTCCCGCTTCGACTCTTCCCGTCATTTTAAACACCAAGGACTCGGACGCCCTGGCCAAGTGATCGGGGACTGAACGTCACCCAAAAGTTCAACCACCTGGAAACTAGTACTGTGCCTTCAAGAGGTCCCGACCCAAACCTCTCTCTCGGACGTCTCCCGCCTCGACTCTTCCCGGCATCTCAGAATCAGCCACTACGGACACTGGCATCACTTCAGCGCGACCTATGTCCACGTCCAACCTACCGCCACCATTCGAGATTATGACCGTCGACTCCGACTGGAAGCTCGCGAGAGCCGCCAGCTCCGCAAGAAGATGAGAGACGTTTGCTGTAGGACATCTGCATGCATTACGGCTCTATTCTATTATCCGGCATATTGGCCCTTGGAAACTGCATGTTCGCTCCCATTCCCATTGCCTGGAGCTATGCCTCTGAGTTCAAGAGTCTCCAAATCAGGTGTCCACCCTCCAGGCCTCTCCGCTCAATCCCGCAGCCGTGTCCTTGAAGCTTCTGCTCCGAGTCTGAGATACAAAGACACTAGTCACCTACTGCAAGACGAATGCTATCAATACTGGCCCTGATTCGCCCGTGGGCTGTCTGAATCAGATACTACTATCTAGTATGTGTCTCCGCCTCTACTCTGGATGGCCTTCACAGGGCAAACCTTCCGACTGAGTATCCAAAGTGAAATTGCCAATGAGCGCTATTTCATGGTTTGGTATCGCCGGCTCAAGTCGGCCTACTGACTAGTACTGCCGTAGCTATGTCACGATGCTGCCACTACATACCCATACTTACTTCCATTTTTGTAATTCAGCGCAACAGGGATCACTACAGCTCAAGTACCCACACCGGTGCTTCACTACTCACTGCGCTTGCTTCATCCAAGACTGGTACTACTTATTGCTCTGTGAGTCTATTGGCCATGTATTCTCATGACCTGAAGAGCTACTCAGGTAAATGTTCCCATCCTAGGAGGCCAGTATTGTAAAGCTAGAACCCCGCCGTTCTGCAGCGTCCAAGATGTCCTTCATGGCATTCTTGCTCCTCCGTGGATCAGCTTGCAATGGTTCTAATCGTGGCAAACGGATACGGGGTACCAGAACCTACATTTTGAAGGTCTTTTATCGGCGCTATGACCGAGTGGTTAAGGTGACAGATTTGAATTTGAAGCTCTTTGAGGCATCAGTCATTATCTGTTGGGATCTCCCGCACAGGTTCGAACCCTGTTGGCGTCGTAACTTTTGCATTTTGAAGCTCTGAAGCTTCTACACACAGATTCCCACTTCGTTGATGTCCTTGCGAACTCGCAAACTTTTTTTTAACTGATGAAATTCTCATTGTCGCTGTATTTGACCAGTACAGCAGGGCCCTCTGTTCCCAATCGGAGGCGGACTCTCCACAAACACACCAAGAGTCCAACTATTGGGTGTACTGTGTACATTCTATAGTGGCTCGAAAGAAAAGTCTCCGACGGTGCACGTACGTGATAATCAAAGTTGAAACTAACATGATTTTTTGTTGTGTTATGAACATTAGTACTAATCTGAGCCTCACTCAACGGCTCGAGCCAGAGGTGAGTATGCGACCGCAGACCACTACTGGTGCTCACAAATCCCGTTCAGACGTACCTTCCACCGAGGCCAATCATCACAATACTTGTGGAGAACACCAAGGAATTTAACCTTCGTCGACTGGTCATTTTTCAATCTCACTATGCCGAACAGCCTCCCATTAGGCTTCTGAATCTGATACTCAAACCAAGACGCCCCAGGTATTGTCAAGCCGTCGGCGAAACATCTTCAAGTAAACCTTCAGTGACGCCCCAGTCTTTTCTAGTGCGACTCAGCTCAAAGCCGGTTCGTGCGCATGAGACCGAGGGTTGAAGAGCATCGGAATACTCTGTGACCTCGACCATTATATCTTGGATCGGAAAATGGTGTGACGTTCTTGTATTCCACGGAGTACAGGCTCCATCTCGACTGTGTGGAACGATGTAGCTATAGGACCAGAGAATAATTTCGCCTGGGGTGGTAACTGGAATACAGCAGCTTGTCATTGGATAAACAAGGTCACCTGGAAGCCGGAGCAAAGCAGGAGATATACGATCAAAGAGAGAACGATCACCTGAGGCAAAGAAAAGCAAACACCGCGCATCCTATTTAAGCAATGGCTGGGTGGCTGACAACACCAACGCCTCTCTCTCTCCTACCACCATCTTCCCTCTTCCCCCATTTCACTCAAGACCTTCAAGCAATCCTCATCAGGTGGGTTGGCTCTCTTCTTCTTCTTCACTTGGGCCGAGGCAGCGAGAACGAGTCGAGTGGTGCACGCCGGGTCTGCACCAAGACGGTGGGGGCTCGCCAACGTGTATGCACCTATAAATCCGACCCCAGCCTATGCCCACACGTCCGGCGCTTTGGATGGCTCCCATCGCTGCATACGGCGTGCTCGAACTCTTCTCGCGCCAGCCCACTCAGTAATCGATTCGTCGTTGCTGATGCCTCGCCTTGCAGGTCGTTTTGTGTCAGTGTGGCTTTGTTGAAACTTGAGATTGTACAGTGTATAGCAATGAATTCAATGACTTTGCTGTGAACTTTGACCGTGCCCGATGCTGAGAGGACAAGGGAATGAATCAATTACGAAGCTCAGTAACGTCCTTGAACAGGCTGAAAGCGCCTCAACTCAACCCCCGCCTCACTCAAAAGTCGCGCCGACGCGTCGTCTCTGCAAACATCGTGATAATTTTTCGAAAGCGAGGAAAAAACACGCACACTTTATAGCTCAGATTATACACAACTGTCTTTACCCCCGTCTGGATGATCTTGATTGTGCACTTCAAGCACGGGCACGTATTGCAGTACAATACCGCGCCGGACCCCGGGCCTCCTATACGTTCCGTGCAATGCAGGAGCGCGTTTTCCTCGGCGTGGAGGCAGACACATTCGTTTGCTGCGGCATCCTTGGGTGATGATGACCCACCGTTGCACTGTACGCAGCCGCCCTCGTTGCAGTTCTTCAGTCCTCGTGGAGTGCCGTTGTAACTGAGAAAAGCATGAGTATATTTAAGAGAACTGTGGGAAGACTGACCCGGTCGCAAGGATGCGGTTCTCGCGCACAAGAACCGCACCGACGCGTCGTTTCATGCAATTGGAGCGTTTGGAAGCCAGGGACGCGAGTGTCTGTAAACCGTGGGGTCGGGAACAATACGTACATGAAAGCGGTATATTGCCCACCATGAAATACGCGTCCCACTGCGGACGAAGATGTCCTGGATCATGCAACTTGAGATCATCTAGATGTGAATGGAGCGCAGGGATATTTTGGAAGGTGTTGGTAACATGGATATTCACGAGCTCGCTCAGATCGTGGAGAGACGATGGGGATTCTCGTAACCCTGAGCCACGGGTGCCAAAGACGAGGCTGTCGTCCTCTCGGACAAAGTCCTCAAGAGACTGTACGCTAATGAAATGGTCATTTGACGGACTGGCCACGCGGCTCACTCACCTTTTGGTGCGATGGAAACGATCCAGCAACGGCGCGTCGATAGAGAGAAGCAGGAAGAATGGCCGTTTAACGAAGGTTTCGACCAGCTCCCTGGTGCATAGGTCGACGGTAACAAAGTCGGCTTTCCAATGCCTCGTCACGAAATTGAGTAAATCGGACTGGGAGGGAAAGTGGCGCGTTTTCTTGTCAAAGTTTGCTGGGGACGGTTGAGGCGACACTGGTCCAAGGGAGAGAAACGAGAGGTGCCTGGAGGCTATTTGCTCATGATACGGGTCCACCGTCGAGGCGGACTCGAAAGACTCGTCTGAATGTGTGTCCTGAGCATAGACGAATGAGTTGAGCAGGCCGGGGTGACGATCGACAATGGACCTCCGAGTCAGGATCGTTGGTGATTCGCACGCGTTGAAAGTCGTGTTTGGAGACGAGGTAGTTTTCCACCGCTGTTTTGCCAGAGGAACGAGTACCAATTATTGCAATAAACATGGTTGGAAGCAAGTGTGTGATCGCGATTGTCAAGCTACTACTACAACTTTGGCCATTTTCTCCTTCTTCCTGGCCTTTGCCGCTGCTTTCCCATCTGCCCTCAGTTGTTTCGCCACCTTCATATCCTTTGGCGCTGTCGTCCGCAGCTGCTTCACGTGCGTAGGAATAAGATTCCGCGTCGTGGACGCAGCCAACGAGGTCAGCCATGGTGCTGTGATCGTCGGAACAGAATCTAGTATCGACGAGAATGCGACCAATCCCGGCGTGTTGGCCTGAACGTGTAAAATGAGGCGAAAAGACGAGCAAGAAGTCGAGGAACGCACATCCATAGCAATGACTGCCGCTCTTCGCACACCAATTGCTTTTGCCAACGCAGATTCCGAGCCTTTGGGAAGGGGAACCATCTTGATTGGGTCCGGCGGTTTGGATGAATTGAACGCGGCCACTTCATGCGGGAGATGGTCTATGAGGATCTGAGGGTCGACATCCGCGCGGCAGACGACAATCAGCTTGATTGGTGGAGGGGGCGTATTGGGCTGCTCGCCGTCCACTGCAACGATCTTGCGTAAAGAGCGTATTTGGACATCGAGCCGTTTAGTGACCTCATTAATCCCGACGATGAGATGGGGGACAACAGCGGGGCATTCCGGCAGCACAACGTCCTCGGAGGATGTAGCGACGACGGTTTCAGCGTCAAGCTTTCGTTTCTTGTTTTGCTTAGACTCTCTCTGCAGGGCTTTGCGTTTCCTGTTTTCCAGGCCACGGACAGAATTGTATTCCGAGACACCATCGAGGAGTGAGATTGTGCATGCAAGAGCAGTGTTCTGAACGTTGAAAGGAACGGAAGGCCTGGAACTGTTGGACGAGGAAAGGAGGAGAAAGGAGACCTACCATGGGACACGGAACGGGCTGTCTAGGACAGGCTTGAAGACGACCTTCTTCTCGACCGTCTCGCGGGCCTTTGCACGGTTGGATGGATTGGTATGCACGCGGGCAGACATTGAGAGAGGTTCTATATTTGCTCTACAAACAACGCGTCTCAATCTTGCTCAGGATCTCGGGACGACGGGGTCACAGGTGCTACATGTGCCCTCTGCACGACAAGAAAATATGCTCCGGCGTCGGCGTCGAGTGGAGCAGAGTCGTATCTCCAGCCTCTCGCAGCTTGCTTTCAAGCAACACGAGGGCTTTGCGCGTCCAACTCCCAAGATAGCCCGATCCGGTGCAAGAAATGCGAGTCAGGATGGCCATGGAGTGGACTAGGAGTCTGTAATGTAGTAGTAGAGCACAACACGAGGCGAACGCGTCCAAGCAGCAATCTCGCAATGCCGTCAACCCGACGCGCCTCTTATAAGCCAACTGCGAGTCCTTTCTGCCACAACACCATGTCCCTGCCACCAGTCCCGGCTCCCTTGAAAGCTGTGGCTCCTTACCTGCAGCGCGCCGACGAGCTGCGCCAGAAGGAGCCAATTATCGCATACTGGTGTATGTTCTCCTTGGCACCATCCACTCGGTCGACTCATATCTTGCAGGCACCTACTATGCTGCCCAGGTCGGGATCGCCCTCAAGGCCAGGGATTCCCCCTCGCGGGACTTTCTCTTCGAACTCCTGGGCTCTCTCGAAAAGCTAAAGGAGGATATCGGTCCTACCGATGCCATCGACATTGAATCCGCAAGCGCTGCCTACGTCGAGAACTTTGCTCTTCGAGTTTTTGGTATGGCCGATAACGAGGACCGCTCGGGCGCTGGGACTCGGTTCGTACACTACTGGTCCGCCCTTCCTCTATTCACGATTCCTCAGATCCACTGCAAAGAAATTTCTTGCCGCAGCCAATTTCTTGGAGGTTCTCAAGACGTTTCCCAAGACCGACGTCTCCGAAACCGTGCGCTTCTCATGTTGCTCATGAATTTCACCACTTAACGAATGAATAGAACGAGGACAAGATCCGCTATGCCAAATGGAAAGCTGCGGACATTGCCAAAGCCTTCCGTGAAGGCAGGAAACCTACCCCAGGACCTGCGAACGCGTACCCTTCAATCGAGGCGGAGCTACTGGAACTCGCTGGGCCCCCGACGTCCTCGAGTACAGCTACGATGAAGGAGCATTTCGGGGCGGCCTTTAGCACGGACTCAGTCCAGGGGTCTCCGCCGCCTCAAATCTCTGTCCCCTCGTCTTCCGGATCGCCCCCCAAGGCGCGACGCACGTCCCCGCACATGGAGCCTGCCGATATAGCGAATGCAAATCGGA